CTTTGTTCTAATTCTGTAAAGAATGTCATTGGGATTCTGATTGGGATAGTGTTGAATCTGTAGATAGCTTTAGGGAGAATGGACATTTTAACTATGTTTATTCTTCCAATCCATGTACATGGAATGTCTTTCCATCTCTTTAGGTCGTCATCCAATTCTTTCAGAAAGACCTTGTAATTTTCATTGTATAGGTCTGTCACTTCCTTAGTTAAATTCACAATGAGGTATTTTATTCTTTTTGTAGCAATTGTGAATGGTGTTGTGTTCTTGAGTTCTTTTTCTGTTAGTTCGTTATTAGAATATAGAAATGCTACTGATTTATGCAAATTGATTTTATACCCTGAAACTTTGCTGTAGTTGTTGATCACTTCTAAGAGTTTTCCAATGGATTCTTTGGGTTTTTTGATATATAAGATCATGTCGTCTGCAAACAGCGAGAGTTTCACTTCTTCCCTCCCTATTTGGATTCCTTTTATTCCTTTTCCTTGCCTGATTGCTCTGGCCAGGACCTCCACTACTATGTTAAATAAGAGTGGTGATAGAGCGCATCCTTGTCTTGTTCCTGTTTTCAGGGGGATGGCACTCTGTTTTTGCTCACTGAGTATAATGTTGCTGTGGGTTTGTCATATATTGCCTTTATTATGTTGAGGTAGTTCCCTTCTCTGCCCATTTTGTTCACAGTTTTTATCATACATGGCTGTTGGATGTTGTCATTTTCTCTGCATCTATTGAGATGATCATGTGGTTTTTATTCCTCAGTTTGTTGATGTGGTGTATCACGTTGATTGATTTGTGGATGTTGAACCATCCCTGTGTCCCTGGTATGACTCTCACTTGATCATGATATATGATCCATTTGATGAATTGCTGAATTCTGCTTGCCAAAATTTTGTTTAGAATTTTTGCGTCTATGTTCATCAGTGATATTTGCCTGTAGTTCTCCTTTTTCGTGGTGTCCTTGTCAGGCTTTGGTATCAGCATGATGTTGGCCTTATAGAATGTGTTAGGAAGTGTTCCATCCTCCCTAATTTTTTGGAATAGCTTGAAAAGGATAGGTATTAAATCCTCTCTGAAAGTTTGGTAGAATTCCCCAGGAAAGCCATCTGGTCCTGGGGTTTTATTCTTGGGATGTTTTTGATTGCTGTTTCAATCTCTTTCCTTGTGATTGGTCTGTTCAAATTGTCTGCTGCTTCTTGAGTGAGCTTTCAGAGATTGTAGGAGACAAGGAATTTATCCGTTTCCTTTAGGTTATCCTATTTTTTTGGCATATAGTTTTTCGTAGTATTCTCTTATAATCTGTTGTACTTCTGCAGAGTCTGTTGTTATTTCTCCTCTTTCATTTCTGATTTTGTTTATTTTAGCTTTCTCCCATTTTGTCCTTTGTAAGTCTGGCTAGGGGTTTGACAATTTTATTTATCTTCTCAAAGAATGAGCTGTTTGTTTCACTGATCATTTCTACTGCCTTTTTCATTTCAATAGCATTTATTTCTGCTCTGATTTTTATTATTTCTCTCCTTCTGCTGATTTTGGGCTTTGTTTGTTCTTCTTTCTCTAATTCAGTTAGGTGTAGTTTAAGATTGCTTACTTGGGATTTTTCTTGTTTGTTAAGGTGTGTCTGTATTGCAATGAGTTTTCCTCTTAATACAGCTTTTGCTCTATCCCATATGAGTTGGTATGGCATGTTATCATTTTCATTTGTCTCCAGGTATGTTTCGATTTCTTCTTTAATTCCCTCAATGATCCATTGCTTATTCAATAGCGTACTGTTTAGTCTCCACCTCCTTGTGCCTTTCTCAGCTTTTTTCTTGTAATTAATTTCTAGCCTTATAGCATTATGATTGGAGAATATGCTTGTTATTATTTCAATTTTTTCAATTTGTAGAGGCTTGCCTTGTTTCCCAACATATGGTCTATTCTTGAGAATGTTCCATGTGCACTTGAGAAGAACGTGTATTCTGCTGTTTTTGGATGAAGTGTTCTATATATGTCTATTAAGTCCAATTGTTTTAGCTTTTTGTTTTGCTCCACTATTTCCTTGTTGATTTTCTGTCTTGATGATCTGTCCATTGATGTGAGTGGGTTGTTGAGGTCCCCTACTATTATTGTGTTGTTTTTACCTCTTCCTTTAGGTCTGTTAATAGTTGCTTTATGAAATTTGCTGCTCCTGTCTTGGGTGCATAGATATTTATAAGCATTATTTCTTCTTGATGAAGAAGAAATAATGTCCCTTTGATCATTATATATTGTCCCTCTGTGTCTCTCTTTATCTGTCTTATTTTGAAATCTGTTTTGTCTGATATAATCATTGCAACACCTGCTTTCTTTTACTTGCTATAAGCTTGGAGTATTGTCTTCCACCTCTTCATTCTGAGCCTGTGTTTGTCCTTGGGGCTGAGGTGTGTTTCCTGGAGGCAACAAATTGTTGGATCTTGTTCTTTAATCCATTTTGCCACTCTGTGTCTTTTTATTGGAGAGTTCAATCCGTTTACATTGAGGGTGATTATTGATGCATGAGGGCTTAATGCTGTCATTCTGTTGCTCGTTATCTGGTTTTCCTGTGTTGCTTTTGTTTCTCGTCCTGTGTGTTTTAGCCTACGCATTGACTTCTGCAATTTCTTATGCTGGGTTTCTTAGATTTTTATTTATGTTTTGTGTCTCTGTTCTGTTCGTTAGTTTAGTGGCTACCCTGAAGTTTGTATTTAGAATCTCGAGTATAATATAGTCCATTCTCTGGTGGACTCTTACTTACTTGGCCTAGACTGATTTAGTCCCTTCCCTCTTCTGCTCCTAAATTATTATTTTCATCTCTTATTCCAACTCATGTCATGAGTTTGTGGTTACAGTGATAAAATCATCTTTGGTTTGGTGGTTTCCTTACCTTTATCCTAATGCTATAGTTGAATATTTGCAATCCTATTCTGGTTCTATCTATTTGTCTCCCTACTCTGTGGTTTGTGACCTCTTTCTCCCTTTGTTTCTTTTTCCAGGTATGAGAGCCTTCTTGAGGATTTCTTGTAGTGGAGGACTTTTGGTTACAAATTCCCTTAACTTTTGCTTGTCTGTAAAAGGTTTAATTTCTCCCTCATATCTGAAGGATATTTTTGCTGGATAGAGTATTCTTGGCTGAAGATTTTTATATTTTAAAGTTTTGAATATGTCATTCCATTCTTTCCTAGCTTGTAAGGTTTCTGTAGAGAAATCTGCTGAAAGTCTGATAGGAGTTCCTTTGTAGGTTATTTTCTTCTGTATTGCTGCCCTGAGTATTCTTTCTTTTTCATTCATTTTTGCCATTTTTACTACTATATGCCTTGCAGTAGGTCTTTTTACATCGACAAATCTAGGAGATCTGAAAGCTTCCTCCACACACATTTCTCCCTCAATCCCTAGATTTGGGAAGTTCTCTTCTATAATTTCATTAAGCACACTTTCTGCTCCATTTTCCTTTTCCACGCCCTCAGGAATTCTGATGATTCTTAAACTGGTTCTCCTCATTGAATCTGCTATTTCTCTGATATTTTCCTCATTCTTTTTAATTCTTTTTAATTCTTTAACTTCTCTTAGCCCCTATTTTCTCCATAAGTGAAGGGCATGATGCATATCCTGTGCCTTTCCTAGGTCTGTGGTGAGGAGTAAAAGAAACACAGGGGTTGAGAGGACAGCAGTCCATCGATGTATTTCTCTTTCTTCCTCTGTCTGGAGCCATTCAGCCTGTCTATTTTGATTATGCTAATTTCCTCCTCTATGGTGTCTACACGGGCACTCAGGGAATCCGTATTCTGTTTTATCTGGTCCATTGTATTTTTCATCTCTAGTATTTCTGATTGAGCCTCTTAATAGTTTCAATCTCTTTTGTGAAGTAACTCCAGAACTCGTTAATTTGTTTCTCTATATTTCCTTTTACCTCATTGAGTTTTCTGATGATAGCTACTCTGAACTCATTTTCACCTAGTTTACCTATTTCCAAGTCCTCAGAGGTTAATTTTGTGTTTTTATTGCGTTCCTTCTTGTCTAGATCTTTTATAAATTGCTGAATGGTAGAGGAGTGGTTTTTGCGCATGATGGTAGTATTCGGTTGCAGTTACAGCCTGTCACCACTAGATGGGGGTCGAGAGTCACACGTTCTGAGCCCTCCGCCATCAGCCATGATGGTGGTGTGCAGTGCGGGGTGGGGGAGGAGGGGCACTTTCTCTAACGTGCAAACCTGGATTTCGATCAGCTCTCGCTCTCTGGTCTCCCAGGGCCTGGCTTGATGGGGTCCCTGCACGTGGAAGCTTTCCCATGTTAGCAGGTTTTCCACTGCACCAGTGGTGGGAGTCCTGGATGATCCCCGGACGTGCAGCCCCTCCCCTGCTCCTTCCCTCACCCGCAGCAGCGATCCCAGTCTCTAGGGGAGGGAGTGAAGTTCTCTCTTACCCTGTTCTAGCTCCTGAGGCCGGCTTCAGCCTCTCCGTCCTCCATCGTCTTGCTGTGGGTCTCTGAGAGTCCCTGGATTAGAGTTATTGGTTGAAATTCAGTTGTTCTGGTTCTTTGGTTGTAGTTTGGAGGGGAGAGAGTCCAGGGTCGGCTCACCCTGCCATTTTGCTGATGTCACTCTGCCCTTGGGTCTGCCATTCTTGTGTCCTCTCTCCCAAGATGCCCATTTCCATTTGTCCCTTCTCTGCCTTTTCTTTTTTTTGAGGAAGATTAGCCCTGAGCTAACTGCTGCTGCCAATCCTCCTCTTTTTGCTGAGGAAAGCTGGCCCTGAGCTAACATCCATGCCCATCTTCCTCTACTTTTTATATGTGGGATGCCTACGACAGCATGGCTTGTCAAGCGGTGCCATGTACGCACCCAGGGTCCTAACCAGCAAACCCTGGGCCACCGAAGGGAACGTGTGCACTTAACCGCTGTGCCACCTGGCCGGCTCCACATTTCCCTAAAAAAAAGAATCATATTATATATCTGCATTTTGCTTCTTCTCTTTATTTAAGAATTTATCATGAATATCAAAAGATTCATATTAAGAATAGTAAAATTTTAAGATTTTTATTTTAGAACTTATTCATACAAAGTTTACTTTCAAATTTAATGTATTACTTATTGGATTTTTTATGTAGCTTTATTTTTCTCCTCTTCACTTTACTCGATAGTGCATGAAATATGCGTAGCCAAATAATTTTTAACAGTTATGAAATTAGAAGCAGTATGAGAATGCTTTCACAGTGGAATGAGGTGTGGCGCAGAGAGTCTGTACCAACCACAAGTACCAAATCAGAGGATGGCCCCAGATGACAGAGGTCATTATGCATGAGTTCATGTTCTGGCTCTGCCACTGAGCATCTGTGTTCTCTTAGGCAAGCCACTCACCACTTCAAGATGTACAGATGAGACATTATGTGTTAAATGACCTCTGAAGCTTCCATGAGTCTACTTAGAATGCAGGTATAGGGTATTCCAGAAACGGGAATGCAGATAAGTTTAAATATGTAGGAAAGGTGCTGGCATCCTCAAATTCCGTTGGGCTTGTTTGAAGACAGCCTCCATTCTTCAGGTTTCTATGCACAAAATGGCAAAGAAAATTTTTGTCAGTGTTCTAGAACCTATTCTTTCACAAACAAACAAACAAACAAAAAATGGCTCCTTTGGAGAATCTATTTTGGCCACTACAAGAAAACCAATTAAAAAGTAACTACTTCTATTCCTCTATTTCCGTATAAATGACTTTTCCTGTCTAAATAGGTCTACCTGTCACTTTGTAAACAGTTTGTAAATATAAGCAAACACCAGTGACTTCTACCCATGTTTTTAGCTTTTAATGGAAAGTGTAAATATAGATTACTCAAAAATGACATACGAATAATCATCAAAAAGTGAACTCCAGGGGCCGGCCCCATGGCTGAGTGGTTAAGTTCACGCGCTCCACTGCAGGTGGCCCAGTGTTTTGTTGGTTTGAATCCTGGGTGGGGACATGGCACTGCTCATCAAACCATGCTGAGGCAGTGTCCCACATGCCACAACTAGGGGGACCCACAACAAAGAAGATACAACTATGGACCAGGGGGCTTTGGGGAGAAAAAGGAAAAACATAAAATCTTTAAAAAAATGTGAACTCCAAAAAAAATTATAAAGGTTCACTCTTACCACCTGAGACCTATTGAACAGGTTTTTGCCACTGATAAAATGTATTATAGTGTATCAGTAGATGCTAAAAAGAATTATTACGTCTTCTATTAGAAATCAATGATCTCAGATAAATAACCATGAGCATTGACCAATAAAACATTCAGTAATGATGGAAACGTTTAATATCTGTGGTGTCCAATATGGTAGCCCCTACTGAAATGTGGCTAGTGCAAATGAGGAACTGATGTTTTTGTTTTACTGAATTTTAACTAATTTAAATTTAAATGGCTACATGTGGCTAGTGGCTACGATATTGGACAGAAAGATATAGATATCTTGGGACATAAATTTTAATTAAGTTCTCTCTATGGTTAAATATTTCTAAAATATTTAATGAACATTGATGATATTTTTCCTTCTGCAAGAGAATAAAATGAATTAATGAACGTTATAATTTAAATTATCTGAAAAAATCTCCACAAAGAAATATTACTAAACTTTTAATTAGGTTTAACTTTAGCAAAACAGATCTTCATAAATCATAGTTTTAAAGTAGAAGTATATAAACTTCTACTTTTGCTCTAAAGCACTTTTTTTTTAAAGATTTTATTTTTTTCCTTTTTCTCCCCAAAGCCCCCCAGTACATAGTTGTATATTCTTCATTGTGGGTCCTTCTAGTTGTGGCATGTGGAGTGCTGCCTCAGCGTGGTTTGATGAGCAGTGCCATGTCCGCGCCCAGGATTCGGACCAACGAAACACTGGGCCGCCTGCAGTGGAGCACACAAACTTAACCACTCGGCCACGGGGCCAGCCCCTCTAAAGCACTTTTTAAAAGCAGTGAAATCATGGCTCATCTGAAGAAACGTTAACAACTTAAAATATACTCATTCTTTACAGCCTCAGAACATTTAACTACAAGTTATGGTTTTTTGCAAAATGTTAGTATCTAAATATTAACAAATTATGAGAAATGTTCAGGCAAGGTACTGGGGGTTTTTAACTTCTTTTATCCATCATTACATATTTATACTTAAAATAAATGGAATTAAGTGTAAAGCTTGAGTTAAAATAACAATTAAGAAACACAATTAACATTTAAACTTCTTTTAAAAGTTAAAATCTCTATGACTTTAAAGCAATTATAAACTATAATTTTCACAGATCTTTTAAAATTATGGTTTTTTACAATGTTTATTGAATCTCACTCAAGTTTTTAAATTACATAAAAATATACAAGTGCTATTATGCTTAAGGAAGCACACCATGTACTTCACAACACAGGACAAGCTGGACAAGTGTCAAAATCTCCAAGAAAATAAACTGTGAAAACTTATATGTATTTAACTATGAATTAAGTACATGAAAACTGACCAGTTTTTGCTCTTTTTCTTCCAGTTCACCTCCATGTGGCATCTCAGGAAGAGGAAGATATTTTCCCAAGAGAAGGCAAAAGTTGGATTGTCCTGGTAAATCAGATTTTACGCCATAGGGGCAGAAATTGTTATACTAACAAAAATGAAATTAGAACACTGTCATTCCTCATGATACAAACAAGCATTGGGTCAGACATAAGCCATCTCAGAGATCTGGTTAAATTAGAGAAAGTCTCATGATTTTGCTATGTGTTTGCACCCTGGCAACAGTCTGTCTATAGCCAAAACATCTACCTTAATGGCAAAGAAATAAAAACAATCCTGGAAGCAAAAGACATATTTAAGTGGTTAGCCGTGATTGAATGAGTTTATCAAGAGACACAAGAATCCACCAAAATTACTAAGAGCACCATGTCCACCAAAAATACCTGGCTAATTAATATACTAGGGAATGCTGATACAGTATCACAATTACTAGACACCTTACAATTGGTAGAAGCATGTTCATAGGTAGCTAGCTCCATTTTAGTCATTCAACAAGTAGGTTCACTTTAGCCATTAGCAATAAACTAACTAGGGTAGAGTTATAGAAAATTATAAGACAGTGAAAGGTCCCAAAGGATAAAACTTATGGGCACTAAAATGAAGCATTTTTAGGATATTACCAAGAAACCAATTCTAAACTCCAAAATTAACCCACAAGGGGAAAACAAATGAGTAAGAAGGTTTTGAAATATAGTTATCCAAAGCAAAATAAATTAAGCTGAATATGGCTTGAAATAACTCAATTTGAGAATACTATAGCCTCCTTAACATACAGAGTTGATAAAGTATCCTGAAACACATATCCCAGATAAAAACCTCTTAAGACACACAGGAACTTGAGTAATTACTCTATCAAATGAAATTAATATCTAAAGCATATTGTTATCAAATAGATAACTTCAAAATTTAAAAGTGAACAATTCCAATTCCAGTCACAATAGAACAACTGGCATTGGCATTGGGCTTACTATTCCACCTTAAACAATTATAAATATGTGAATCAATCACTTAAAATAATTACACAACAGACATCCCAGGTCTGTGACCCTTGAGAGAAAAGACACATGAGATGAGCTCCAAACTGCAGCACAGAAAAGTAGCTTGAACAAAAAAGCACTGTTCTTGCTGGATAGAGGAAACAAGTATCAGAGTTAAGGGCTGCTGAGGCAACAGATACTTTTGGGATAATATACTGGAGAAAGATGAGCTATGTAGAGAAGGATCTCCAGACATCTGCAAAGATGTCTGTTTGAGTCTTTGGGCCATTACTAACCTGCATATATTCAGGGCAAGACTCCAGGAGGCATGGTGGAGAATAGCTACTGGGGATTGGGAGGTGAATGAAGGACCCAGAGATCACTTAATGCTGAGAGACACTGAAGTTCTAAATTATCTAGAATAAGTGCCTTTACTGAACTCCACCTGCATTCAGCTGAGACCCCAGAAAGACCACACTTTAAAAGTAGTGAGCCCGCCCTGATGGCCTTAATGGTTAAATTTCTGCATGCTCTGCCTTGGTGGCCCAGGTTAGTTCCTGGGTGTGGAACCACACCACTCATCTATCAGTAGGCATGCTGTGGTGGTGCTTCACATAGAAGAACCAGAAGAATTTAAAACCAGACATAACTATGGGCTGGGGCTTTGGGGAGGAAAAAGGAAGAAGATTGGCAACAGATGTTAGCTTAGGGTGAATCTTCTCCTGCAAAAGAAAAATGTAAAAGTAGTAATATTTTGACTCTAGACTAAGAACTACACTAGACCTACCCAAATACAAGCTTCAACAGGATAAAACTTCTCAGCCAGGAAACTGCTACCAGAAAAAACTCAACACTCTAATAAAGATCACAAAATATAGGCTCTCAACAATGTAGCATTTATAGTGTCTAGTATAAAACCAAAATTAGTAGGCATGTAAAGAAACAGGAAAATGTGACACATAATCAAGAGAAAACTGTATGTAGGAAAACAACCAAAGATGACATAAATATTGGAATTAACAAATATTTTAAGATATTAGAAAATGTATTCAAAGATTTAAGGAAAAATATGGACATAATAAATAAAGAGGAACAAAGAGTTTGTATAAATTACCTCAAGTCACCCAATCAGTAACTAGCAACACCAGGTTTCAGACCCAGGCCCTTGAATTACAGAGGCCACGCTCATTACAACTAAGCTGGCCTAACCACAACTACTTGCATTGCTCTACCTTATATCAAAAGAAAACTGACTACTTAGTACACTAAACTGAGACATTATGTTGAGTTATCCTCCCAGACTGTTAACCAAACTGTAGGTTCTTGCACTCCTTTCTAATACCTGAAAGTTAACACACTCCAAGCATTATCCGTACATTTTCTAGCATGACACCATAACTTGACTTTTTTTCCAGTAAAAGAGAATTTGTCTGACAGTCATTTTAATGAACTAATCTAAGCCTCTGTTACTCCTACCTAATTAATAAATAAAATAACTTACGGCCTAAATTCAGTAGTTTCCATAACAATCATTTTACACAATATCAGATAGTTGTGATCTTACAGAGGCTACTTTCTATGAAGAGGTTGAAATACAAAATAGAAGCTTATCAGACCCAAACATTTAGAGACACATTTAAAGGAGAATATGACAAGACTTTTAAAAAGACACATTAATGGTTTCCTCTACAGGTAATTTTCAAATTATGAGGGCATCAAAATGTAAAAAAGTACTACATTCAATTCCCTAAAATTTTAGAAACTTCTCCCTCTTTAATTATGAGATTTTTTAAAAATGTTAATATTCAAAGGGAACACAGAACATCTACTATTTCCCTGCTCTCCCTGAAACCTTTCTTTCCTATGGCTAATAGTGATAAGTACTTCTCATTTCATATATTTCTCTTTCATTATTTACATCGACAGTCTTACAAATTCCAGAAATGTCAGAGATAGACATAGGCATTTAACATAAGCTTTGTGGATGCCCGAGAATTATAAATAACTCTGCCTGCTTGGACCCTCTAGCAGAATGGAGGATGACCCTCCAGATGGAGCCCTTCCCAGACGGATGACAGCTTTGGCTGATATTTCTGTCTTTTTGCATCCCCTGCACTTTGTTTTCTTAATCTTTTATGAATAGTTCTGTGGACAGAGGGAACCATGGCCATAGTACCATGAAAGAATATGAGCAATCTGGAGAAAGAAAACAAAGTGAAGGATGAAGAAAGCATGAACTAAGAAAAGTCAAAATGACTCTTTGCAGGGTATGCAGCCACTATGTTCCAAGGCAGAATCCAACCCTTTTGAGTCCGTTGTGTCTAATGTATCACATCTAGATATCTTGCTGTCAAAGATATCAACTGGGCAAAAACACTGAAGTAATGGTAAAAAAATAGATTGTTTTCTTTTATAATTCCCTTCTATTGTAAATGTTTTTCAACATAAAATATAAACTTCAAAAATAAAACACACGTTTTCTCACAGGTAAAAATTCATGGAGAGTGCTGTCAGCATCATGGCAGAGTGAGCTCTTCCTTTAGTCTCTGTCCCATAAGATACAACAAAAAGGACATTCACAAATCAACAGGGGACATTCACACAACAGACATGTGAGAGATCCACACAGCCATATGTCTGAAGTTGGGGGTGCAAGACTCCCCCAAGAGGCAGAGGAAGGAGGTAAAAAGATCTCCCCCACCCTCACAAGTGGCAATGATCTAGGGTGTGGGACCTCACATGGCAGCTGGTGCATGACTCTGAGAGGAGATGAGAGAAAAGGCAGCCCTCCATGGGAATGCTTGCACTCTTGGAGTTGCCTCACAGCCTGTGGGAATGCTCCACACTGAAGAAGCTAAGCAACTGCAGGGGCATCTAAACCAAGCCAAGCAGCCCAAGCAGGCAGACAGTGAGTGCAGACCGGGAACGCACAGGATTGTGCCAGCAAAATAAAGTGCCTCTCCCTGCTTCTGCCTGGTGCACCACCTTGGCTGGCCAGCTAGAGTAGGGGATCCCTGCCAGAGAGCATATGGGCAAGTGAAGACAGTTCCTGTTGGCACTGTTTCCAACAGACAAGCACATCTGCCAAGAGTCACAGCAGGCTCAGAAAACACAGCTCCTGCCCAACCTAGCGGTAGAAGGTGGAATCTACACAAGATATGACCACCATGTGATGGCAAAAGTCCATGCCATCAAATAGCATGAAGAAGTATATTAACACAACAAACCAGAAGGAAAATGACAAGTACCCAGAAATCAATCCTGAAGACACAAAAATTTACAATCTAAATGACAGAGAATTCAAAATGGTTATCATAAAGACTCAACAAGTTACAAGAAAACTCAGAAAAACAGTTCAATCATGTCAGGAATAAAATTAATGAACAGTAGGAATTCTTTACAAAAGAGACTGAAACTATTAAAAAATCTGAAAGGTTGGAGATGAAAAACACAATGAATGAGATAAAGAAAAATTTGGAGTCCTTGCAAAAGAGTGCTGATATTATGGAGGACAGAATTAGTAATTTAGAGGACAGAAATATAGAAATGCTGCAGATGGAGGAGGAGAGAGAACTGAGACTAAAAAAAAACACATGAAGAGATTCTCCAAGAAATATGACTCAATTAGGCAATGCAACAACGGATTATAGATATTCCAGAGGGAGAAGGGAGGGAGACACGAGCAGAGCTTATTCAAGAAATAATAGCTTCCCAAACATGGGGAAGGAGCTGGAATTACATGTAAATGAAAGTAATAGAACTCCTAATTACATCAATGTAAAAAGACCTTCTCCAAGGCGTATATTAGTAAAAGTGGCAAAAGTCAATGACAATGAAAAAATATTAAGGGAAGCAAGGCAGAAGAAAATAACCTACAGAGGAACCCATATCAGGCTATCAGCAGATTTCTAAGCAGAAATCTTCCAAGCTAGGAGAGAATTGAATAATATATTCAAAATACTGAAAGACAAATACTTTCAGCCAAGAATACTCTATCCAGTGAAAATATCCTTCAGATACAAGGGAGAAATAAAAACTTTCCCAGATAAACAAAAGCTGAGGGAGTTCATTGCCACAAAACTCCCTGATAAACAAAAGCTGAGGGGGTTCATTGCCACAAAAGCCCCCTACAAGAAATGATCAAGAAGGGCCTCATAAACAAAAGAAGGAGTTTACAAAGACTTGAGCAAGGAAATAAACAGACAGACAAAATAAGAAAATTGCAGCTTTCTATCAGAACAGGTTAGCCAACACTTAGTTATAACATTAAGGATAAAGGGAAGGAAAGCATCAAAAATAACTATAATCACTTCATTTTAATCACAAACTCACAACACAAAATGGAATAAGTTGTGACAACAATACTTAGGGAAGAGGAAAAGGATTGAAACTGCTTAGACTAAGGAAATAAGAGATTATCAGAAAATGGACTATCTTATCTATGAGATCTTTTATAAAAACCTCACGGTAACCAATAAACAAAAATTCAGAACAGAAACACAAATGACAAATGAAGAGAAAACTGAGAAAATCATCATAGAGAAACACCAAACTGAACTAGCAGTCAGAAATACAAGGGACAAGAAACAAAGGAAATAAAGAACAACCAGAAAACAAATGATAAAATGGCAATATTAAGCCCTAATATATCAATATGAAACTCTAAATGTAAATGGATTGAATTCTCCAATCAAAAGACACAGAGTGGCTGGATGGATTAAAACACAAGACCCAAGAACATGCTGCCTCCTGGAAACACATCAGCTCTAAAGATAAACAAAGTCTCAGAGTGAAGGGATGGAAGATGACACTTGAAGCTAAAGGCAAACAAAAGAAAGCTAGTGTTGCATACTTACATCAGACAAAGTAGACATCAAGGTAAAAAAGGCAATCAGAGACAAAGAGGGGCAGGATATAATGATAAAAGAGATACTCCAAAAGAGGACATAACGCTTATAAATATATATGCACCAAACACTGGAGCACCAAAGTACATAAAGTACTATCATCAGACATAAAAGGAGAAATTAACAGCAATGCAATAATAGTAGGGGACCTGAACACCCCACTTACATCAATGGATAGATCATCCAGACAGAACATCAGAAAGGAAACAGTGGAATTAAATGAAAAACTAGACCAGATGGACTTAATAGATATACATAGAACAGTGCATCCAAGAACAGCAGAATATACACTCTTCTCAAGTGCACATGAAACATTCTCAAAGATAAACCGTATGTTGGGAAACAA